AACATTACGAACAGCTTTTCTCCAAGTGCATGTGTGGGGATTCCCCTCATTATCCAGCGTCGTGTCGTCGTCAATTATTCCGGTTCTACAGGCTGCCTGGAAGAAGAACTTTGCATTTAGTTGATGAGCTCCTCCAGACCTATCCATCCCCGGTTTGGGCCACTCCTCCTTGGTCCTTTTGTGCCTCGGTGCTATCAGCTTTCATCTTTCAGCTGACTGCCAGTTGATCAATGGCTCTGCCCGCTTTCCATGGTGTTTCTTGCAATTATGTATTTATATTGCGTATACGCCATGTGGGGACGACGACGCTCTGTGCAGGAAGTCGCCCGAATGTTCTTGGCACCACTGAAGCAATAATGAACTTTGATTTTACCCTTCGCAGCCTTTCCGGGAAAATGTGAAGGTATGAAGAATGTTCGACATAATTGCTGATTGGGGCTTCAGTACACAAAATGTTTAAATTGTTATAATGATTTAATTATGTTATTAAAGCTGCTAGAGATACACCTAAAGTTTTGTGTTTTTTTTTTTGAGCTTCTCATTAGAATTAACCCATTAGGAAGTCATAAAATGTCTCTGCTTTGTGGGCATTAGGGAGTCTATAAAGTGAGCTAAATTATGAAGGCCATGTGTTTAGCCACTTGGCTGACTTTTTCCACGAATCTTGGCCAGAAGATGTGGAAACATTTAGCAGATGTCGCCGCTTTTGGCACACAACTCTGTGGCCATTAATCTGCCTGAGAATGCGGCTGCCAGATGCCGGCGAAAAGTGCGAAAGTATTGCACACATGTTTCCCTTAATTTTTGTAATATTCCTTGGCAAAGCCCTCTGTATGTTTAATTGGATTTGCAGCTAAGCGGAATTAGAACGATCCGGGTGAGAATTGGAGAGTTATATTTACATATTCGAGCTGTGCCATCTTGCAGTAAAGGCAAACACTGGCAGAAAAATATGATTTAAAAAAGGTTTAACATATCTCTGTGGTCTGATCAGATATAATTAATAATAGTCATGTCTTCAGAATGTAGTTTTTTAGATTTAAGAAAATATTTAAATATATATTAAAATTATTCATGAGTAATTTCTCCAAGTGTGGCTGCCTGGCGACAACAAGCAAGTGTAAATTTCACTTGAACTGATAATTTCACTCAATTTGTGTGCGCTGATGAGCAAAGTTTTCCCATTTGCATAAGACTACGTGTGCCTGCCCCTCAGCCCGCGGCTTTTCCACCCCCTCCCCAGAAGGACCCCGAACCCTGTGTGCAAGTTTTCATCTGACGATGCCGCTTCTAGTGATTTCTTTTCCTCGAAGGTGCCAATTAGGGATTTCCGCCTCAATTACTTTCGCGAGCACACGAAAACCAAGTTTGTATGATTTTCGCATGACAAACTTAGGGCACCCGCCCCTTATATTCCACTTTCTTGGCGCTTCCTTTAGGAAAGGAAGGAGCACTCACTGCGACACCCTTTTCCCTCGAAATGTAATTGCACGGAGTGCGTCCCCAAAAACGTTGCGTGTGCGTGATAAAAAATTTCGTTTGCATTTTACATGTTTCATCTGCAGGTGGCGAAAGCTGAAATAGTTCATGTGGCTCTCCTGGGGAGGACTAGGTAATTTCCAATTCAACTGAATGCGTTTGCAGTTCGCTGATTGGTTTTCTAAAGAGGTAAAATGATTTCCGATGTGGGAAGATGCCTGTTTAAAAAAGCAATATCTGGAGTGAAATGAAATAAATATTCTAAGTAAATGAGGAACTTGAAGCTTTTTTTTATCTTCAATATCTCTAGAAGTTAAAGATGAAAATAGATTGAAACTAATACTACACAGATAATACATGTTGTCGATGTCAAGTTAATTGCAATCCTTTGATAATTAGTTTGTGTTAAAGTAGCATTTACCTAACAAACAAAGCAATCTGTATGAATGATTTGGGCCATTTACGGTTCGAGAAATCGAGATCGGTTGGCCGCAATGAAATGTCCAAGTCTCCTTAAGTTCCAGGAATAGAGCGAAAGCCTTTCAAATCAAAATCAATATGGAACTAACGACAAAGGCAAACGTTGCCAGGACCTTTTGTCAAGTCACGGAAAGGCCTGCAAAGTGGGGCCGAGCGAGCACTTAACAATATTGCATTGCAACTGGCCTCAAAATCAAAGTGGTTAGATCGGGGGAATTATTTGTCAGCCGGCGGCGGATGGAGTGGGATGTGCGGGACGATTCCGGACTGAAAATGTACCCGTCCGCCTGCCTAAGTGTAATTAAATTCAGTCTGCTCCTTCCCGTGACCGGTTATCATCAAATGGATTGATTTATGATGATGCTCTTTGCTCTTCATTCTCCTGAAGCCTGGCTGACGAGGCATGACATAATAAATCGGTATGTCCTGGCCGGGTCCTCGCACATTGACAGAGACACACACAGACGCACACATGAGCCGTGCAGAGATTTGAAAATTAATTTGCAAAAAGTTTTGCCTGCTCAAATCTCGCATTTCGCATTTCGCGTTCTATGCGCTATATTTATATTTATTATTTAATTTTGCCCGCTTCTATGTACTTTGGCGCATTTTCATGCTCGACTGCTGCCTCGTTCTTTTCTTGTGTTGACGGCAAAGTTTAATTTTTATTGTTGTTTGACTTTGTTAAATGATTTTTATTGCCTTTCTTGTGCGCTGCGGGATAGGAAGGCGGGTGGGTGGCAAGGAAGAAGAAGCCTTTGTAGGAATTTAATAAAACTGCTGTGACCATATTGCCGAGCAAACACACTGCACAATGCTCCAATTTTCCATCACGGGAGTCAGCAGGCAGCATCAAGTTAACCAATCCCTCGTCCCTTTTGTCGCTCCTTTCCCCATCCATCTGTGTCCTTTACTGCCCCGGAATTTATTGACGCTCCCTGCTGAGTTTGACGGTTCGACTTGAGATATATGAGGGCCATTTGATTGTTTTGTACATACTTACGAGTGGCTGCCAGATTGTAAAATATTTCACCCACCGGCAACAAGAAATTTTCTGGCATAACTTATAAGCATCTTTCGGTTCGACTATGCGAAAAATCAAACTGAAAACAGCCAAGAAAAAATATGAGTAGAAATAACAGTCTCGGTGGAAAACCGCAGCAAAGTGAGCCGGAAAAACGCAAGAATACAAAAGCATTGGTAATTCTAAGGACTTTGTTTTGTATTTATATTTTAATATGGTTTAAGGAAGAATTTTTGTGTTTGTTCTATATATTAATCACAACCAAAAATCAGTTAATAAACTGCATCATATTTAATATATTAATTATTTACTTATTTATAACAAGATCATTTTCCTAGCATACATATATTTGCTTTTAAATTTTACTTTTTTAATTAATTATTATTAAAACAATAAAACTATTAAACTTTCTTTTTAAGTGCTACACTTCTGCCCTTAACTGTATCTTCCTACTTAATGAATCTAAAAAGCTGGAAAATGTTGGAGTCACCACAATAAAGGAGCTTTTTAATAAAGGCGCCTGAAGTTCAAACAACTTTATTTGCTGGTTAAATGAAAGAGTTCAGGGAAGCGAATTTAATTATGGATGCCAAGGTACTTGTCTTTGATCTTCCAGATTGGCATAGGGATTTTATAGGTATTATTTATTTCAAATAGCACTTGGGGAAGTTTCTTTTCTAATATTTTTCAATAAATATTTAAAATTAATCAAACAGTTTCACCCTTTAGACTTGACCATATATAACTTGACCATCATGTTGCAATTCATTCGAAAGTTTCACTTTAAATAACTGTCAGTTAAAGCTGACTAATTATAAGGTTAAAAATAAAACCAGCTGCCATTGTCGCTCCACAGGCTCTGAAATAATGATTAATTGCAGTTTGCTGGAATCCAGTACGAATCCACGTCAAATGAATTGCATAATCGCCTGTCAATTACAGGACTGTCAGATCCCTGGCAGTTTCGAAAAGGAGGACGTGAACCGTTGCCGATGCAGAATTAAACAAATTGCGGTGTAGTATTGGGAATGAATTCTGAATGGCTGCCAAGCGAACAAAGCCTGGAGCCTGGCGGAGAGGGAATAGTTGCCATGCCGAGGGGCTTGCATTTGTGTCAACTGGATTGTTATGGATGTTTGCACTGCCGAGCGGCATATATCTTTTACAATGCCCAGGCCCCCCCTTGCCACGATAATTGTCCTGTGAAGGACAATGTACGCATTGCGTCACTGCAAGAGATACGCCCATTGTTCGGGCTGAAACAAAGCCAAAGCTCGGCATTGCTGCGACATTGTGCCCCTTTGCCTTTGGCCGGCTTTAGTCGTAGTTTTAATCTCACTAATGGCAGCCACAGCAGAATACCAGCTCAGAGGCTTCAAGTCAATGGCTACAATAGACTCATGTCACAAAAGGTCGTTGCCTGCACACGACAAATTCAGCCCTATATCTTGAAATAAAATCAAAAAGCCAAAGCTCTTCCCTACCAGCCGTCCCTATTTAGCTTTAACCCTAGACGGTCATGCTTATTTTTCCTACGTTCAGGTTATGCTTCGTCGAATCGACGACGCCAATTTTAAAATAAGTATAATTGTTAAAAAACAAACAAATATTGTAAAAAAAAATTTTACATCGTTTAATTCAACATTTTAACTGTTCAAAATTAGAAATAATAATTCATTCTCATATTAAGAATATACTTAAAAACTAAAAATAAAAAACGACCTTTTTTCCATTTTTCGATCTTTTGTGATTTTGCGTCGTCGAATCGACGAAGCATGACCGTCTAGGGTTAAGCAAAGTGGGTTTTGAAAGTAACCAGATCACAAAATATTAGCATTTAGTTCTAGGGAATGCTACAAGATAATAAATCTATAAAAATACAGAATGATGTGATAGCAGAGTGAGTGATTCGAACTTAAGGGAATTTACACCTGAAAGAGATTAAAAATTAAACAGAGAGCTTTGTTAATAACTAAGAGACTGAATAGTGAATTCAGTATAGATCAGTTTTTCAGATCGGAAACAAGTTTCTGTCGCAATGCATGAGCCGCAAAAATGTGGAATACTTTCGCTTGTCTTTTGCATCATTCTGTGCAAAACTTGTGCTTGTAAGGCTTAAATATAAGTTCTAATAAATAGATCAATTATGAATTGCTATTTTTAAAACCTCTACATATAGATCCCAGATACGTGACTGACTTCGTGTTTCCCCCGGCAGATGAGAACCAGAATCTTTTGGAACCAATTAATAACGGCATTATCAATTCAAAGAATTTCGATTTATTACATGGCAAATGGTTGGTGAGCGAAATGAAAGATCTGGACAAGTGCCGTAACTTTAATAACGTTAGTCCTTCCGGACACGTTCGATTGATCTATATCAGTTACGCGAATGTGGCCAATCCCCTGGAGAGTTTAAAAGAAGCTTTATATCACGACCTAAAAATTCCTAAAATTGGTAATACACTAGAAATTGTTAAGCGAGGAAGAAAAAGAATAGTTTTTGGAATGCCAAATGCCATGTTTGCATTATTTATCTTGCAAAGATACTGTCTTCTATATCATAAAAGTGGACATCTTAATTATGAGATTCTTGGTGCTGAGGAAGATTATTAGATGTTCGAGAATAATTGTAATCGTTCAAAGTCAAGGTTTATTTATGAAAAATTAACACAATTAACAAGTTTATAATAAATAATCTGGATTTTTCTTTTCACAGATTGAGAGCAAGTTTCCCACTCATTTGAATTTATAAATGGAATGAACTCATTCTTATGGAGATCAGTTCAAGTTATTTTTAGCATATTACTTGTATCGTTAGTGTTGACGATATGACTGTTGTTTGGATATTGTATAACGTTTAGTTTACAATTCAATTACATGACACAGATAGGGCTTGATAAGATTGTTTTAAAATTGTGCTTTATAATTACTTTAAGGTGTTGATAATAACCCAGCTAATGCTAAACATCAAAAGATTCTATGTAAAATATTTATTTATTTTAACAATTTACATAAACAAAACGTTAAAAGCTTATCAATCTGTTTAACCGGGTAATCCCCAGTGGTATTCAATATTCCAGTGGGCCAGCCAAACGGACCACCGCTGTAATCTATGGATTCCTTTGGCCAAATCAAACAATTGAAAGCCATAAATACGTGGAAGTGATTTAGATGCGGATGTGAATGCATTTAGGATACCGGTGGCCAGGTGAACGTGAACTACACGAAGGCAATTAAGTTCGTTCGGCGTCATAACGCATTTTCTGGGGGAGTGGGCTTGAGCACGGGCATGTTTATTGACGTTGCTGTTTCTGTGCTAACTGGGCCGGAACCACCCTCCCTCCTCCCCCCCCCACTGAATGGACCGATTTTAGCCTGCACAGGTTACTTTGGCCCCGCTTGTTGTCGCGCTGGTCGCCTTCGCTGTTGAACATGGCCACAATGGAATACCCTAGGAGAACGCACGGAACACCGAAGCAGGGAGCACGGGAGCGAGGAAGTGGGCCAGCGGAGCTTTACAATTTACACATTAATTATGAGCAGACATGTGTTGTAGGCGTTTTGGCCAGGATCCCGGCGTTTGGCTCGAGTCGTGCGGCGCGGTAACAGGTGCCTCCTGTTACTTCATATCCTCGGGGTGCACTGCGAAAAAAAACACAAAGATTGTGTAACGAGTCTATATTCTGATAGCTGAAGCCTGTAATCAGTGAATTATTTATTTTATTTTGGGTGAAGCTAACTGCACCATATGGTGCCTATATGTACCATAAGGTCTCCTAAGTTTCCTCTTAGAAATATATATAATTTCAAGCTTTAGGCTGCACTATTTTTAGGCAACTTTATTTCGCTTAGTGTTGAAAGTATGCAAATTTCAGGCTAGGCAAAATATGCCCCTGGCCGGGTTTTATGCCAGCGAATTAATGAACGCAGGCAACGAGCCGGGCAGCGGCAGCAACAAGGACGCCAGGAAGGGTCATTATTTTGCCCATGTCCCTGCAGATCCGCTCCTGCAAGCCCCAGCAATGCAATGTGGTCTGGCCAGCCTGTGGCTCCACGGAACACCACACCTCCTTTATGCCCCCAACGCCGTGTGCAATAATAGCAATAATTTATCACCCCGGACCCAAATTATGCATGAACTCAATTGTGCGTGAAATTAAATTTTAAGCGCAAACAAGCCGACTTGTCGGCTCGGCCCCTGTTTACTTCAATAATTTGGCTAATTTCACTTGTGAGCAGCAGCATTCAGGCCACAGGCCGCTCTGGCCAAATATAATTGAAAATACTATGAATTCCTCAATGCAGCCGCAAATGACAGGCAGATGACTTGCATTGGTTTTCGACTAATTGAGAGTTTCTTGCATTTGACTGCCTCAAAGGTTAAATAAAAAATTAGTATTCTCTCAAGACAATAAGGTTATTTAATTGCATTCTAAGTGGTTAAATTGATTGATTGGTTTAAGAAAATAATAATTGAAGGGTAAGTGCATAAGGAAATTAAGGTATTGTCATTTATCAATAATTTTTAAATAATGTTGTTATTTAATTAAAAAATATACCTCACTACAGAAATATCTAACGAAAATATATAAATGATTACTCAATTAAATAAGTTGAAACAACTTCCGCTCACTAAACACTTCGCTTGACTTTACTTCCTGCTAGAAACTTTGAAAATTCAAAGATATTTGAGTCAGTTAAAGTACATTTGTAGCTCCCATCCCAATATGTCGGCGCAGAATTTCCAAGAGACATAAAATACCAAAAGTTTTCGATTGCATTTTTGTCGCAGAAGTAGCTCTGATTGCTTTAAAAATAATTTATTGAGTCAATTGACTTTTGCAGCGGAGTCTCCGCAAATAGACGCACTGCAATCGAACTTGCAACCACCGGGGAGCTGCACACAGATACGCACTCACACCGCCGCAGACTCTCTCTCACACATACACACACACAGATACACTTGATTTGATTGTGTTGACTCTGCAGAGGGCGAAATAAAGTTAAGTGCAGCCCTCGTCGTCCTGGGCTTCGGTCCGCTTCCATTCGAAATTTATTGCGGCCGGAGTCCTTTCACGTGGCAAGTTAAAGCCTCAGTTACATGACTCATTCAAGCTCCGGCATTTGCTCATTTGGGCCGGGGGTAAAGTCCAGACACATTCTAAAATGCGATTCCAGTGCCTGCAAGCCGAGTCACACATGTCAATTCAATTTGATCGGAGGGCCGTGACGGATGGAGGACGGAGACTGAAGGAGGCCTAACCAGAGAGAGTTCCTGTTTTCTGGTCCTGGAGGACCACACACAAATCCATTCGATACTCGACGATGGGGATGAGAGAGAGGTTCAAGGGAGGACTGGAATTGGCCAAATAAAAATGTCTCGCCTCCGTCTACATTGATTGACAGACAGCAGATATGCCTGTGGCTTGTCATTGGAATATCATTTATAATTGGAACGCATTTCCCAATCCAACAAGTCAAACTCATGCTTTTTTCCTGGAAGTTTAGAACATGAAAGGGTGGAGTCTTTTCAAAGAAAACTAAAAACCAGAAAGGAAACAAACTTCGGGAAGACGAAATTTGTATTCGCTTGCAGATTGTCATAGGCTCATGACCTTAAATGCATTAATTTTAGTTCGGAATGTTCTTTGTGTTAGTTTTAAGAGGTTAATAAATCTGGGTAGTACATATATTCAAGATTTAAGGGGGTCTTCTCATTCAAAAGCCGTTTTTTGGACGCTTTTTAAAAAAATTCTTATTTGAAAACGCAAAGAATAATTGAAAACTTTTTTTATTTATTGTATTCAAAAATGTTCAAAGTAACTAAAAAAGTTGTTCTTGCCTCGATACGAGGGTTGTTCAAAGAGTAATGAGACTTCAAACTTGGTGGTCGAAAAAAAGGTGTCGTCCTGGCGGCCACGATTCAGGGTCTCCAGAGCGTCCGAAATGAAAAATAAAAACGGGGTTATAATCAGAATTGATGTCATTTTCGGGTGACGGAACAGATTTTTTTAAAATTTTTTTAAACAAAATGGCGGCCATTAAAAAAAAAAATTTCGATTTCGGGCTTTTTTTTTGTAGTTTAGTGTAAAAAAAAAATAGAAAAAAAAATTTAAAAAAAAATCTGTTCCGTCACCCGAGAATGGTGACAATTCTGCGTCGACTCCACTTTGTTTCATGAAAATCGGTTCAGTTGAACTGGAGATATCATGGCCGCCAGTTCGAAAAACGTGGTTTCGAGATAAACGCGTTTGAAGTTTGAAAAAAGCTCATTTTGCGAAGAACTTGCTTCACAAAAAAGGCTGTATCTTCTAAAGTATTTCGAATTTCTAAAAATCCTTTTGGGGACATATACACACCATCCCTAACTATAAATAAATGCAAAAAAAAAAAATCGAAAAAAAAAAGTTGCCCAATGAGAAGACCCCCTTAAAGAAACTAAAATTTTTGTCATTATATTTTTACTTCACGTTTAAAAATTGGACTTTAAATTCTAAAATAAGTTTTCTAAACTATTATAGTTGAGACTTAACACGAAGTAATTGTACATTTAATAATGTAAAGACAGTATGGAACCATAGTATAGCTCAATTTGCAAGCTAGCAGATAACAGAAACTGTTATCCAACAGCCATTTTACAGAGCCTCCACTCGCATTCAGCAAGAAAACACGAAACTCACCATCACACAGAAGCAACAAACACAGCAGCATGGCAATTGTTGGACAACAAAGGAAGCAAAGCTACACAATTTTGTCGCTTTGTGGTTGTGTGGAACGTGTGGAAACAACGTTTTGAGGAACTTATGAGTATAAGAGTGCAAAGATGAAATTTAATAATAATAATAATATTTAGTAATAAGCAAAATGACTGCGGTAAAATTAAAAAATATATAATGGCTCTAAATAAATTTAAATTATAAGAATACAAAAAAAGGGATTTATAAAAATAAATAAGAAAAAGGAAGGCTAAATGATACATTTAAAATATTATAATTCATAAATCAATAAATTAATCAAATTTAACTTAGAAAGCACCTATAAATAGTTTGCTTAACCATTTTTTACAAGCTTAACAACATAATATCTAAAACTAAGTTACTCATCTTTAAACTATATGACATTATTCGGGAAGATGTAGTTTGCATAAGGGCATCACAAATCTAATAAAAAATGGTCATAAATACCCATAACATTTCAATAAAAATTAATGGCCCCCAAAAATATATATATTCCCCTCTCCTCCAAAACAAACTTTTTAAGTAATTGATTTCACGCAAGAGTTCAACGAAGCATTTCAATGGTGCATAACATAAAAATCACATAAGAATTTGTTTCCAAATTGTATTTATTGCTTTTGTGAGTGCGAAAAGATGAAAAATGTGTATCAATTCTTTGGCAGAGGATGCAGCCACATGCAGAGTGCGAATATTTTATGTTTTCGCTTGCCGCATTTTGTAGTTACTCGACACTTTTCCAAGTATTGCAGTAAATATTGATGCTCGAAATACAAAAATGTATGCAATAAATAATGCGAAATTGAATATCGAATATAACAAATATTTCAATTTTGCCGCTTGGCAAAGTTTTTGGTGCAAAACAAATGCAAATTGTATTTTATTACAAAGTTAGTTTGCTTTGTACACTCAAGTAAGTAGTTTGTAGATGTAATATTTTGAATAATTTCCTTTCAGCAATTGGTTTATTTCGAATTTTCCATAAGAGATATATTTCCTATCTGCTCATTACGTATTTTCTTTTTTTGTCTTCCTTTGGTTTTAATTAACTTATTTAATTGCATACGGTTTTGCATTCACTTCGAACAGTTGGTAATGCAGGCATTATTGTGTTTTTGTTTCTGTGGCAATGAATAACAAACTGAATGAAAATATCAGCAAATTATGCATCGGGATCTGTCTGTATTTTCATTTCATTTGCCTTTGTTTCATTGACGGTCTGAAAATGAATGGAAAAATCAATTAGGCAATGTAATTGTGTGGAAATAATCATAAATTGAGTTGAAATTAATCGCAACAGTTTTAAAGCTTAGCCCACATAATGTAGGATTGAATATAATGAATTAAGTGTGTACAAAATCCTCAGACTAAAAGGTTTTTGAGCACGGCCTAAAATTAAATAGCATGGAAGACCATTTAAAATTTTAATTACGATAATTATGCAGAGGGCAACAGAAAAACCCTTTTACCGAGAGATCTGAAAGTATTCAAAAGGGTTTCGCCAAAGTCATAAAATTCCAAACATTAACTGAACCCGAAAAAAGCGTAACTTGAAGTAAAATCTCTTGCTCACACCAAAATACCCAAAGTGATTACGTATACGGCAGGTGGGTCCCAAGAAGCCCTACTAAAATGTAAATCTAATTTAATTATTATTTTTTTTATTATGTCCGCTAGATGTAGCTGGGAGGATTTTTAAATCTATACAAATTTATGTTGTGGCTTTGGTTGTTGGCAATTAGTTTAATTACGCTTTTAATTAAAAAGCCTTTCCCAAAAACCGCAGTTTTGATTTTTATATTGCATCTAACCGACGTGGTCAGGCGACCAATATAATCAATAATTGCATTTATATATGTTGTAAATATAGAATCAGAGTGCTGTTCAATGAAAATATAAATATTTTAAAGGCATTTTTAAGTACTTTGGACTGAAGCAAAGAAGCTTATTGCCAAGCTAGAGCCAATTTCATATGATTTGGTCATGTAATTTTAAGAGCTAAAATCCCTGCATCTCTGATTTGCATTGGAATCCAAATAAAGAATGGGTAAAGAGAAGGGCAGGGCATACATATTCAAAAAGATTTCGCATGCGGCGCACATTTTTGAATACATTTGACAATTTTCGTAAGAGAAATGAGAAATATTTGCATTTACTTGAGTAGCAGCAGCGACAACGACGACGGCGGCGGCACTGCAAAAATGTAATTTCCATGAAAGCAGTCAGCTCCGTAGAGTGGGAGGTGGAATCCGGGATACGGGTTACGGGCAACGGGCAACGGGATCAGGGGAATACGGAATACGAAGTCATGAGCCAAGCAGGAGTCATCCGAAGTGGCTGCAAGTGCGCAGGCATGCGGGCCATCCCACGCCTTCTTTACTGTATTTTACTGAGACACACTTGGAGAAAAACGTATATTCCTTGGGAAATACCTCTGTAATTTGGTAATTTTATTTATATATAATAATAATATTGTAAAAATGTTTTAAGTTAGTAATGACTAAGCTTATAAAGGAAAATAATATAAATAAAACGAAGCTGAATATTCAAGAATTTTTTCTCAGTTGAAAAAATTTGTAGGGAAGACGAGGCGTTGACGGCGATGGCGGTGTCTATTGTGCGGGTTAGCGGCGGCTGCATTTGCATCCCGACAGCAGATGCTCCACACACACACACCGCGCACAACCCAGATATACACATACCCAACCAGCGGAGGACCGAGAGATTTTCCAGAGCCTGTCCGGCTGGCATGAAATATTTGACTTTTGATTAAAGCACCGACTCAAGTGCTCTGCGAGACTGCCTGGCGCTCCGGCGGTTGCCCTGCCTGCCACTTGACAAGATTCACTTGTCTTTCAAATGCATTTCATATTGTGTTGCATAATTTTCTGCGGCTTCCCTTGCCTAATGTGAAATGTGCCCTGGAAAAATTTCGAAAAGCCCCCCGACGCTTGGTGGCAGTGGGTGATGGCATTGTGAAAAGTTTCCCCAAGATCCTGCTGGGCTCCGTCGTTGTCCTGGCTGTTGCCATTGTGGTGTTGCGAAATATGCATTGTTTGTTGTGGCGAAAATAAGCGATTCTATCTGTTGGCCGAGCTGCTGCACTTGCAGTTGTGCCAAAACTAAACAGACCGAGAAGTTTTATGGAATTACGCAAAGTTCGGGTGCGGGGGAGCTACGGCAATGGCATGTGATGGAAAAGAAGAACTTTCTGGTGCCTGCACTTGATTTCTAAATGTTGCCATGGCACAGGTTATAAAAACGTAGAGCATTTGGAAAGCTCAGATCAAATTATTCCATACCTTTTGATGCTTACAGTACTCTATAGTATTTATTGGCACTTAAATTATGTCAAAAAGTTAAAGTTAAAGCAGCTTCGTCAAGTAATCCCAATGGAGTTTAATTGGCATTCGAATGGAGAGCCACTTAAGCCCAGCAAACACCAAAAAATCTTCGAGGCAACACTTTGTTCAGACCGGGACAAAAAATTAATCATACGCTCCGGTTGCCAGCACAGTCAAGGGGAATTTTCACGGATAAAGGGGAATATTATTGCGGTACAAAAGCGAATTAATTTTTCATAAAAGGCGAACCACGCGGCCACCGCAGCGACGGCGAAGGGGTGTCCTCCATGGCCTGCTCCTGCTCCCGTACCAGCTCCTGCTCCTGCGGTTTGTTGCTCACGCACGTACCTGGAAACCCATACACCAAAAGGGGATGTATACTTGCATACACATAGAAAAAATCTACAGCATCACTTATAAGATTTATTATTACAAAAATTACAGCCTGAATTTGTAATTAAGATATTTTTTGATTGAATTGAAAGGTGAGTAAAATTCTAATAATTTAATTTTTATATTTATTATGTATATTGTAGTAAATCTTTCGCTGTGCAGACTGGGCGCAATTAATTTTCAATGTGCGCTTTATGCAGCTCCTTGCCGGATCCGGATTTTGCTCTCTGCGGCTGGAATGCGGCTGCCAAGGATCCCCCAGTTGCGATGCGATGGCGAGTGCGGCGGGGCGTGCTAATTGCCAAACAAAAAAGGCGGCAAAAGAAATGCAGCAGCAGCCCTTCGAGTCCTGCGAGTCCTCGAACCTCCTTTTGATCGCATCGCTGGCTAATGTGATGTGTGCTTAATTTCCGCATTTCAGCTAATTGGCCTCGTTCGCCTGGATTTCGCTAATTACTTAATCATCAGCCGCACTGACAGCCCCCAGGCTTATAAATAAGTGAAAAACATTCAAGTTGCTATCGTTCAAGATGGCTTTAAAGTAAAAAATATGATGTTAAAAGTCACAATAAATTTGCTAATGGAAGACAATTTAGAATCAATTAAAACAATAATATATGTTTGCTTCAAAGCAAATATTGATGATTTATGATGATTTGTTTTAGTGGCACTGCTTTTTAGGCCTTATCATCATTTGCGCACGTTTCAGAGAGTAGGTATGCCCCTTGAATTGATACCAGTTGATGCCCTTGCCATGCGCGTTATCGCCGTATTTGCCTGCCAAGTTGCTACAAAAAAATAAAATAAAATAACGTAAATTAATAAATTACGTGAATGTATATATAAGATATTCAGACACTTACCTGTGATGGCAGGCATTATACCACCAGGCACTGCTGTAGTTAATTGCACAGTTGACCGTAGCGTGTTTGTCGTTATCCCGATCCTTGGTGGTGAACTTCTGTCCCAGATGGGTGGCCAAGGCATCGCCGGCGTTGCCCGAATTGTTGCCCAAGGACTCTAGCGCGAAGCCATTCTCCTCCGAACCGATTCTGAAGTTGTCGTACTTCTGGTACCGTCGATCGCCCTCGTTGTCCTCTAGCAGGACAAGCAGCTCCTGTTGCTCTGCTGTAGTCATGGCGTGTAGCTTATCCAGTCCCAAGAAGAATTCGTTCTCCAGCTTGCCGAAACCATTCTTGTAGTCGTTCCAGTCTCGGAAAAAGTCCTCACTTCCATCTGTGCGACGCAGGATTAAAGTCCAGCCGCCACCATGGCTCAGTTGATCGCAGGCCACCACGAAAGGGTGTTTACTGTACTCGGGCACCACGATCACATTGATTTCACTGTTCTGGGTGAGGACCGAAGGTTCGGCGCAACTCTTGCCATAGAGCTTTGTTTCCACGCCAGTTTTGGAAAGGCAGCTGTCCAGTTTCTGGGTCAAGTCGTCCAATAGTTCACCATGTCGCTCCTGCTCGACACTGAAAGTATATTAAATTAATATTAAGTGATATATTTTTATTTAATTGAATCCTTACCGCACTGCAATCATCTGAGATCTTATTGAAGCTGCATTGCCGCAAATCGTAGATATTTCACAAACTTTTTCCGCGTATATACATGCTAAAATATTGATGACTAAGATTGAAAATAAATTAAAGCTTAGCATGATTCTAAGTAGAGCTGAACAGATTGATTGCCTGGGGAAGACTGAGCTGAGATGCTTTTATACAGCTAAATTTACAAAGAATTATTGGGAATTCCTTATCACCCGTCAGCGGATTGTCGAGTGAATGGCATTTGGGAGATTATTTCAGTGATTCCCCTGCAGATTGTTTACGGCTGAATTTTAACACAAAAAAACCCAAAACAAGCTTATAACTTTTTATTATATTTTTATTTTTTGTATAAGACTGAAAGTCCATTAACGTTATGGTGATATGTAAGATAATCATCATAAAGAATTTGTAACGTATAAAGAGCTACAATAATTCTCATATTAAATATTTAAAAATATAGCTTTAACCTGATTTAACCAAACACCTTACGATCGATCGAAATAATAGACTTTTCACAGAAATCTCTTTCTTTCGAACATATTATTATTTACTTTTCTCTTATTGTAGGACAAGTATTGTTGTAGATTGCATTCGCATCCATCAAACTCGTTTGACTGACAGTAGTTCCTGGCCTTTGGGGGCTGTCCTGGTTCTGTGCCTGTTCCTGGACCGGTTGTCTCGGCTGCAAACTTAGTTACGAGCTCATCCGCAATCATCCAAGCCACTGCTGTCTGTCAAATTGAGCGCAAAAGCCTCGGCAGCCAGCTCAGGTGACATCAGTTCCGACTCGTTACAGTTTGAAGTTTACCGTGTGTGACAGGCCAGGGGTTTTGGTTTCGTTCGGTTTGGTTTGGTTTTGTGGGCGGGCCACCGCAAAAAACTTCAACCCAAAAAGTTTTCTCTGTAGAGACAAGTAAAAACAAAGAATTCAATTTACACTCGGAAAAAATAAATTGGTGATTTTTGAGACAATTTTAAAATTTAAGAAGAATACTCAACAACTCCAATAATATTAATAGGATAACTTAATGATTTTTGAACTTTAAGATACATATCCTTGGATTTATCATAAATATTTCCAATAAATTTCCAAAGCCTTGTAAGCTGAAAAATAAGAAATAATCATATTGAATTCAGATCCAGAATTGTACATTTTCGTAATATGAACTCCATTTGCCTTCTAAACATATCTCTTTAGGCCACTTCCCCACTGCCTCTGTGCAGATCGAGTGGGGTAAACAGAAATTCTGGGCATAAATCGAAATATTATCAAGATGCCAGCTCGTCGCGTCGCAACTAAATTGTTTGCAAATTTTCCCGCAGCTCCTTGGATACAACCCGGCGGCGCCTGCTGGCCAAGAACAACGAAACAAGAAGAGCGGCAGAAATTTGTGTAAACAAGTTTTACCTACCTTTTGGCCGAAATTTATATCTCAGCCTAAACATTTTGCGAGCGGCTCCTTTTTTTTCGGGCTATGTACGGGTTGTATTTCATTTTACTTCAACACTTTCGGCACACACACTCTCAGACTTGAGTGCCTTTGGGGGCCAACTTTGGGCATAATAAATAACATAAAAATGAAGCGAATTGAACCTCAAAGTTCAATTCAAATAACCACTCAATAGATCTGCCGACCACTGCTGCTGCTGGGAGCTGGGACTTGGATCCGCACTTGGACTCGCCCTCGCCTCCATGTGCATACGAAATGGCCGCCGGCTGGCTGGAATAGACGATGAATTTAAATATGGCCAAATTGAGTATTGGGCACGTAATAAAAAAAAAGGGCCAAGAAAGGCGGTCGGACAGCCGGGACGACCGTTATGTATGGCATCGTAAATAAACCCTTTTTTACTTAATCCAAATTCGTCCCCGGGGAACAATTTGTTACACAATTTAAAAAAAGGACGAGAACGGGCAAACACTGCTGGCTCTGGCTCCGAGCAGGCATTTAGATTTTGGTCCAAGTCCAAGCTGTGTGTCCTTGCCAGGACCCGGGTCAGTTGTGCATACATTGTCCCTGTCCGAGCTGCAATATTTTCGCTATAAAATATTTATATTTCCCAGCTCAGTCCCCTCTGCTCAGCCAGGGCCAGCCAGTAATAAGATTTTAAACTTCCATTTCTCGAATGCATATTTGATGTTGCTTAGACACGGCGAATATGGAGGGCAATAAAAGAATCCGACGGAAGAAATGAGGATGAACCGAAAGGGATTTTGAATTGCTTTACTAGCCGCGGGGTTTCTAGCACTTGACACATGCTGATTTTCTTTCAATATTATGTTTTATGTTTACATATGAAAGATATCTTTAAAGTTAAGTACTTGATTGTAAAGTAATTCTAATTTTGTAAACATAATATTTAAAAATATAGCTAAACTTGTGGTTAAACCAATAAACATAAGAGAAACTTATTAATGCCCAATTTTATAAATTCTAAATAGTTTAATAACAAATTCTTTAAATGAAAACTTCAATCAAAATCAACCTTTTACTACTTTGACTTTTTCATTTAATTTCATTTTCACTTTAGCAAATTTTGAATGTTTGTGATTTTAACAAAATTACACGAGCAACATAAATTTGGTTGTTATCATTTGGCTTACTAATTTCCATTTATATTTTTCTGTATATTGATTGGTTTCCATCTGGAAATTTACATACACAGTCTGTTTATCAAACACTGATAATGATGGGAATACAACTACCATAGCAGTAAAGCATGGCCCAATTTGGCCCATCTTCCAGCAATTACCAATTTTCCCTTCAATTTCCCCGTAAACCGAAGTTTATCAGCGAAAGCAGCTTCGAACTTAATCAACTGGGCCGTAGATCCTTTGAAGGCTGCCTGTCTCAAAACAATACCAACTTATTGTCGGCCAGCTACAAAGGGCAGCTGCAAACGGGCCGAAAAGCCACGCCAAGTTTACCAAAAATTAGCGGAAACGGAAGCCAATCAGCTGGCAGCGGAAACCGCATTGTGCCGCAGCACTTCAATTCCGTGGCTTCGATTATGATGAGGCTCTGGCCCCCGTCCTCGGCGGGATCTGGCTCGGACACAGCTACTGGGTCGGTCTCTCTCTGCGGTCAGAACCGAAAATAATGGCCAAGAGCCAAATTACGTTTCCGCCATTTGGTGCCGGGGCAGCTCCCGCTTGACCGGAAATTGTGAAAAATCAACTCGGTCGAAGGGCCGCCGCACAGTGGGAAAACCCCATATCCTGCAAGTCTGGATTATGTGTGTACGGTGAACTGACTTTGCAAGTAGAATTGCCGAGTAATGAGCAAATTTCAATATAACAGAATAGAGGGCTCAACTTTGAAGACGAACGAAGGCATACTCTGTTGTAGATGGTACAATTATTTCAAATACAGCATTGGAGAATACCCCTTGGCTGAGTATAAAAAAAAAACTTAAAGAAAATATTTGATAGCAGTGGAAGCAAATTTCTTCTCAATGAAAAGCCCTCAAGGAGTTGAGGCAGTCGGCGGAAATGTAAAACGCCCGGCATCTTGCAAATGTCTGCGAATTTTATAATGAAATTCCACAGCGTTTAATTATGCCCCGAGCAGTTAGTGCCTCTGATCCGACAATGGAATTTGAACTCTACTCTCGCCTGGAGTTCAGCTTTGCATGAAATGTATAAAATTATTACAACAAATGCCAGAAGACTCACTAAATCGAATTTGAAAAATCCATCCACAACCATGTGGATGGGCAATCTGGCTAGCAGGCATTTCCCTTGCAATTCAATTATGCAAATGTTGTAATAAACATTAAAATAATTTAATGGAGTTTCGGTAATGTGATAAAATTCATTAAGCTCTGTAGATTTTTATAACAAATTAATTTCGATAGAGGCGGATTAAGCGATAGAAAATATAAGGGATTTGTTTTGAAACTGAATGTAGTAATAGGTATATAAACAATAAAAGAACATTTAAAATATTTTTCCCATAACTCACCAAAAACGATATCAGGATCGAATATAAAATACTTAAAGGATTTCTGATAAGTCACCGTAGCCCATTAATATTACTACCAAATTATTGTCTATACTTTATGAGTATTCTTTTTCGAAAAAAACAAAAAAAATATAGATATATCATACCTTATCGTTTTTATCAATCGACTTTTTGTGGCCAAATAACATACAAGTTGGATGCTGCCTTAAATTCCACCGTTTAAGGCTGACTCAAAAATCCCTTGTTAACATGTTCGGCCTGGCCTCCACTCGATATCCATCCAGCATACTACATAGTTTTGGCCCTTATCTTTGCCGCTACGTGAGCGCACGTATGCGCATTCGTTAGCCTTAACTAAGGCCGCGTGCAAATCCCTCGCAGACCATAAATTATACACGGGAAATTCGGGGAAAAATCTGAAAAGCCCGCATCGCCTGAGGGTCGCGATGAACGTGAGGGGTTCGAGCTAGTGTCGCACTGAAAACCGGCAACTGTTGCTGATGCATTCGATAATTAAATACGGCAAAACAAGATGTCGACAATTTGGGATTTGAATAAACACGCTAAAGCTATTTAACTTTGTTTCCGAGTCCCGTCTGACCCACATCGGTCGCCGGTTTTCCGCTTTTCCATCTTCCGCCTCCATTTGCTCAGCTTTACACACAGCAAAATAATTAATCCTTATTTTTAGAGATGTGTTTGAAATATTTTATAACTGACAAATAAGTAAGCATTTACAAATAGTTTTAATAAAATTATTTTAAAGTTAAGAGACTTTTCTTTGATGGATTTTAAAAAATATATACTAATTATTATGCCATGTCTAACTTACAATCTCTTTCCTTTTGAAAAACAATATGTTTAAAATTCCTTGAAAATAAGACAACTTGTACGGTTAAGACTTATGACGCATCCCATCGAATAGCTCAATTTCTGGTTTGATTTTCCTGCAAGTGCACATTTTCCGCGCACGCAAAACTCAAAGCAAGCAAAGTTGAGGCGCCGCGGCGGAGACTCTGTGAAATTAAATAAGTTGGGGCAACCGCTAACGAGAAAGGTGTCTGGCACTAGGAATTAATGCGGCGGTTATGCGAAGCCCCCGGGCCAGGATGCCTGGCTGCCTGGGCTGCCTGGGCTGCCAGGATGCGGAGGTGGGCTTTTGCGGCGGTTCGGTGGTTCCATGG